AACATCAACGTTGAGGGCTTTGGTCTTAGTGAGGCAGAACATCAGTGTCACTTTAGATTTTTTTTTCTTTGTTGAAATACCCTACAACAGGGTTAATAATTTAGAATTTAATTTATTAAATTAATATTGAACATTTAATTTAATTAATTTTAATTAATGATAAACAAAATAATATAAATGAAAAAAATAACAAAAATAAATAAATAAAAAATGTAATAGATTCATTAAAAATTGATATTTAAAAAACCATTTAAATACAAAATACGAGAAAATGGAGGTTTATATAAAGTTTATAAAACAAACATTAAGAGTTTTTAAATAAGTTTTGAAGAAAAATTAAAAAAAAAGAAGAATTAAAGAGAGGAAATGAAACTATTTTAAATTAAAAAAGAAAAAATTTAAAAAATAGATAAACTTAATAAACAACATGGAATCCCCACTTCTTAAAAGTGTTTTATCTCTTCTTGAAGAAGATGAAGATAATGAAAAAAATGTAGAGTCTTTAAAGAGTCTTATTTATGATACATATGACCCAATAACGGTACAACCACCAAAAGAAATGATGGCAAATATGGAAAGACCAAATTCAGTTCCTTTAAATAATGCAGTTTATAATGTTTGTTAAATAAATGAATAATAATTTAAATAATACATAATAATTATTAATGAATTTAGGCACCACCTTTTATTCCAAGAAGAAAAATTTCAAGTAAAACTACTTCTGCCAATTGTATTTCACCAAGCTTTTATCAAATGAGTTCGAGAGTTAAACAACTTGTTTCTAGTCCACCTACATATAAAAAATCTAATAGTACTTCAATCAATTCTCATATAAAAATTCAACAAACTAATAACTATACAGTTACTGACTTATGTAAAGATCAACAAGGAAGTAGAAGAATCCAAACATTTTTAACTACTGCAAAAGATTTTGAAATTACAGAATTATTTGATAGTATTAAAGGAGATTTATATGAATTGATGAATGATTTATTTGGTAATTATGTTGTTCAAAAATTCATTGAATTAGGAAATGATAAATTACGTCAATTTGTGCATTCCATTATTAGAGGAAAGGTTGTAGAATTATCTAAACATATGTATGGATGTAGAGTTATTCAAAAGATTATTGAATATAGTAATACAAATGAAAATGAACGTATTTTCAATGAAATTGAAAAGAGTATTATTGAATTAATTGAAGACCAAAATGGAAATCATGTTATTCAAAAAATTATAGAAAATTATTGGGGGTGTATAGAAAAAATTCTTTCTGCTCTTCAAGGACAAATTGAAAAATATTCAGGACATGGATTTGGATGCAGAGTTATGCAAAGAATTATTGAAAAAAGAGATAATAATTTTAATAATCAAATTTTTCAAGAATTACAAGGGAATATTATTGTACTTTCAATGAACCAATTTGGTAATTATGTTATTCAACATTTATTAGAATTTGGTAATGATACAATTAGAGAAGCAATTATTAATGAAGTTGAAGATGTTTTCTTTGCAAGCTCATTATTAAAATTTTCTTCTAATGTAATGGAAAAATGTGTTCAATTTGGACCTTCTAATAAGCAACAAATTCTCATTAAGAAGTTATTTGATTGTACTGACGATATGATTTATAAAATGATGAAAGATCCATTTGCTAACTATGTTCTTCAAAGAATGTTTACTATGATGAATAATGACCAACGTTTACAATTCTATACTTCCTATGTTCAAAGAAATATTAATTCCTTAAGAAAGAACATTTATGCCAAACATTTATTAAATTCATTAGATGAATCAATGAAATAAATCATTAGAAACTTTGAATTCATTGAACAAAGATTAAGTTTTTATAGTTACACATAAATGATGCTTTTATTATTAAGCTTAATCATTCATTTAGTTTTATATTTTTTAAGTCTTTAAAAAATAAAGAAAATAATAAAAATCAATTAATTAAGTGTTAATAGATTTTTTATATATTCTTCCTAGCTCCAGGGGAGACTAATCCCATCCCTGAGCTTAAAAAATAAAGAAAAATAAATAAAAGAAATAATTCATTCAACTTAATTTTTAAGTAATTCAGTAATTTCTCTTTCAAAATACTTTTTTACATTATTTCTTTTAATTTTTAATGAAGGTGTAATTAAATCTCGTTCAATATCAAAAGAATATGGATGAAGAATAATACGTTTAACTTTTTCATATCCCATAAGTCCATGTTCACTTGCTACTTTATTTAAATCATTTAATATTATTTCAATAATTTTTGGGTTTTTACATAGTTCTTCATCTGTTTTATTTTCTAATGGTGTTCCAATAATTTCTTTTCTTAAGAATATAAATTGAGGAACAATAATACCATATAAATAATTTAAAGTTGATTTACCATCAACAAAAATATCTTTAACATAGTTAGATTCTTGAAGTATATTTTCTATTTTCTCGGTTGAAATATATTCTCCTTGTGATAATTTAAAAATATTGTTTGCTCGTGCAATAATTTCAAAATCATGATCTTTACGATACTTAACAATATCATTTGTTTTAATCCATCCATCTTTTATATGTTCATTATTATATTCTTCACTTTCTTTATAATATCCCTTAAACCCAGCAGTTGTTTTAAGATATATTTCTCCACAACATTCTTCATTTTGAGTACAAAATCCCATTTCCGGAACACATTCTATTTTTGCCATAACAGTTGGGTATGGTCTGCCAGCTACATCAAGATGAATTCCATTTGAAAATTGTGAAGCTAGTCCCATTCCTGTAGTTTCTGTTAGTCCATAACCAATAAATAAAGCATCTACAATAACTATTCTAAAAAATTTAGCAATTTCTTCTGTCAAAGGAGCACCAGCACTAATAATAATTTGTAATTTACCTCCAAATTTTTCCTTGATCGGACCAAAGAAGATATTATCAAAACTTGGAGTTAAAGCAGTTGGTTCAAATTCTAATCGTTTTTCTTTTAAGTAAAAAGCACTGTTATAAATTAATTGTGTTAAACAAGATGTTTCTCTTAATCCTTCCATTACCTTACTATAAATAGTTTGAAGAACTCGTGGAACAGCAGCAAGAACTACAGGTTTCATTAATTTAATATCTTCTACAAGTGTTGGAATACCTTGAGACATTAAACCAATAACTCCACCAAGACGATATATTGTCATTTCTAAGACTATAGCAAAAACATGAGCTAATGGAAGGAAAGATATACTAGACATTGGGTCAGTTCCTCTTGGATGTAATAACAAAAGTTCCAAAGGAATTCTTTCAACTAAACTTGTTGCACATGAAATTAAATTTTCATGAGTTAAAGGAACTCCTTTGGGAAATCCAGTAGTTCCACTTGTATACATTAATAATGCATCATCTTCTGGTTTAACTTTAGTTAATAAAATGTCAGTATTTGCAAGACCTAATTTATAGACATCAAGAAATGAAGTTAAAATACCATCTTTTGATGGTTGTTCTACTTCAAATTCATTAATAAAAATAATATTTTTCAAACAACCAACTTCTTCTAAAACTTTAATTTTTTCATTTGAAGTAAAAATATATTTAAGTTCTGCATGTCCTATAATATATTTAACAGCTTCTTTACCAAGACTTTCATATAAACTACAAATTCTTGCTCCAATATAACTACATGCAATAAAAAGATAATGCCATTCAAGTCTTCTTCTAGAAAAGAATCCTAAATTATCTCCTTTTTTAATTCCCATTTTAATTAACCCACGTGCAATAGTTTTTGAATACTCTAAAACTTCTTTATAAGAATAATATTCGTACTCTCCTCTTTTTCCTCCTGGAATATATTTTCTTTCTCCAATAAAAGGATGGTCAGGGTCATCTTCTACCCAATGTTCTACTGCATCAATAGGGCTATGAATTAATAGATGATCTGAAACAAGTAATTTATTTCCATTTTTTTCATAGTCGTCAGGATAGACATAGATAGTATGTTTTCTATGATTTGTATCCATTATTAAAATATGTTTTCTTCTTATAACATTTATCAGTTCATTCTAGAGATTGTTTTTCAAGTGACCCAGAAACAAGTGGAAGTTTCTCTTCAAATATCCTTTTTCCTTACTTTTTTCAAGTCTGCAACTAAACTTTTTCTATATTTTCACACTTTTTACTAGTGTTTTAGTTATTTTTCTTTTCGTATTCTACTTTCTGTAGTATTTAATTTGTATGTCAAAAACTAATAGTTCCTAAAACATATCATCACAAACACCGATGGAATTTATCAAATTTCCATGTTTTGAATTAGAAATTAACTAATACAAAAATATTATGAAAAAGAAAATACTCTTAAAATAGATTAGCAAAAATAAACACTAGTATTAAATAACATTATTATTTTATTTATTAATTCAAAAAAAACAAAAATAATCAAAGAAGAGAAAAATGTTATTTTCTTAAACAAAACACTTGAATATCATTCACTGCAGCAGTACTCTCTATTTCAGGAGAAACACTATCTTCACAAGAAGCAGCATATAAACCACACACATAAGTATCTTTCATACCAAGAACTTTTCCTATAAAACTTCTATCAGGTCGAAGTAATGATAACATACTAATGATTAGAAGAAATAACAAATAAATAATCAAGTAACAAACCCAGTAAAATTACTAGAAACATAGTCTTCCCAGTTATCAAAATATCGTTTACAATTATCACATCCATCTCTTTGAAATTGTTCTTGACTCTTAATTAATCCACATATTTTACAACAACGTAATGAATTAAAATTACTTGGTATAACAGGGTCCATTGATTCACGATATCTTCTTTGTTCAATAAGATCATCATTAACGAGAGGATCATCAATACTCATCTTAATAAAAACAGAAAATTTATATTTCTTTTGTAGTTTTTCTTTTTTTTTATTTCCATTTTTTATATATTAAAAAAATAATTCATTAAACTATTAAATGAATTAATTTTCATTGTAACAAATAAAGTAAAATAAACATTTTTTTACTTATAATTCTTGTTGATAATCAGCCATATAATCATCAACATCTTCCATTGCATTAATAACAAGATCAATATTACTATAAAAGTACTTATGTTCATCATCATCATAACTGTCAAATGGAAGTAATTTTCCATTACTATCGAAAAAGGCAAATTTAGGAGAATACTCTTCTTTATTAAATGGTTCCATATGATAATATACATCAGTTTCATCTAAACCACAAAGAATAAACCTTTTAGCTAATGCCTTGAATCGAGGGTGTTGATCAAACACTTGATAATATGTACCACATTGTTCACATTCCAATCCACCAAAGAAAGCTAAGATTGGAAGTTTTCTTCTTTGAGCTGCTTCAAGAGCTTCTTCATATGAGTACCACCTTAATTCTCCCATATATGGTTCCCATTTTTTGTCGTAAGCAAAAGATAAAGTGAGGAAAGGAATAATTAAGATATAACTGTACATAGTTTGGTTAAACAGTTTATTCAAGTTCATTATAACGTTAAATTGGCTCCACGTCATTTATCATCAGAGCATTTCATCTGAAATTTTGTTTTTTTATAAAAAATAATAAAAACAAAAAAAACAAATAAATTTTTTTATTTTATTCACTATTTTCTTCTTTACTATTTTGTTTTACTAACTTTTGTTCTTCTTCATCAAAACACTCACTGTTTAATTCCCAATGCATTCCATCTCCTTGGGTAGTATAAATAGGTAATAACGCAGTCAAAATATTAGTTCCAAACATTAATTGAAGATTTTTGATATTACCTAAGTCATATGGATTATCTTGTCTTGTTTGTTTAGTACTACAACAAGAGAAATAATCACGTTCTATAGTTGTAGAATTTGTTAAGGCAATTGGTATCTGAACTGTGATCATAGAAAATGCTGATAGTCCAAATGCAATTCCTACAAGTAAATGAACTAAATGAATAGTTCCAGAAACAGTAAATGCTTTATTCTGAAGATAATCTAATACGCTAAATAATGCAGAAAAAACTGTTACAATACAACAAGTCAATCCAGCATAACAGAGGAAGAGAATAAAGAATTTGTGATTCTTAAATCCAACACAAGTACCGAGCCAGGGGCAATGATGGTCCATTTTTAATACACAAGCTTGACATTGACTGCAATGATGACATCTTATAGGCTTTCGGTGATGACAGCGTTTACAAATTTTAAAATCAGTATTCTATTGACATAAATAAAAGGTCAAAAGTATAAGAAAAAACAAACAGTGTCAATATCATTTGGTAACCAAACATCTGTAAATACAGTTCGATAATATGACCAAGTTGTTAAAATTATGTTAGGAACATATAAGAAGAAATAAAAAACAAGAAAACAATAACTGTTATTTATTATACAAAGTATTTCTTCAGAGCAAAACAATGAAATAGTAGTGAAGAAAATGAGTGTTGTAAATGAAACAGCTAAGAAACGATATTTTTTGTATTGAAAATGTTTTGGTATAAAATCACTTCCCATAACTAAATATTTTAAGTTCTTATAAACCTTGAACCAAAACTTAAAAAAAAACGTTGGTTTCAGTCCAATGAAACAATACTGTAACGAAAGTTAAAATAAATTCAATTATTCGATATAAGGTATTAAATCAACTAATAACTTGTATTGAAAGTCAGGATCTTCTTCAAAAAATAATAAAGTTACATCTTTATGAATAACAGGATATTCTAACTGAGCATATACTTTACTTGTAATCCAATCTTTAATATCATCAAATTTACGTCCATTATCATATAATATAATCGAATTCTCTTTTCCTTCTACTAATGCCATCCAATAAGGAGAGTCCATTTTTGGATATATTGCAATTTCACTTGTTTTAATTTGGTCCTTAATACTTATAATGAATCCTTCTTCATCCATAAGGATACGTTCATCAATATCAATAAAGAAAGTTTCTTTTAATATTAATGTAGCTTGAAAATAGGAAAGCTTACCTTTCCAACCTCTAGGAGTAGTAATAGAGTCCAATGTATATTTTGATGATGCGTATAATTTTCTTAGAGAAAATAGGGATAAAGGATTAATTAAAGGAATTTTTTTCATTACCATACAATATTTTACTTTCTTACCAAATACATCAAATTCTTCTTCTTCTCTTTTTACTTTTGCTAAAAATTTCTTTGAATATCCTTCTTCACTAGATATATAAAGTACATTATTTGGATCAGTTGACATTACAACAAAATCAACAGTATAATCATCATTATATTTAATTGCAAAGAATGATCCATCTAATCCATCATTTTTAAGAGATTTAATAACCGTTCTTTTTTTTGTATCAATTTCAATATCAGTGATACCTCTTTCAGTAATTATTCTTTTAATTTTGTTTAAAGTGAATATTTTACCAAAAGAAAAAAAGATTTCTGTTGGAAGTTGAATATTTTGTCGTTGGTCTTTATACTTTTCTGATAATGTTAAAGGAGCTGGACTATCAACGAATGATTGTCCAAATTCTGATAAATTAACTTCTATCTTTCCAATATAATCATTTTCACTTAATTTATCATAATCAAATAATTCAACTAACACTGTTTCTTTTGTTAAATGATGTAAAATAAATCTTGAATTCCAAATGGGATTATAATTATTCATCACCGCTTTTGTTTGACATGAACGTTCTACACTTTCACATTCTTCATTTCTTTGTTCTTTTTCTTCAATTTCTTTCAATTTTTTTTTATATTCATCTTTTGAATTACTTTTATTTTTCTTTTTCAAGCTTGTTTTTGAAACTGAAAAATTTAATACAATAAATCCATCAATACGTCCTCCAATATCTGCTTTTGGTAAATTTTCACCTTTTTCAACAACAATATCATAAAGATAATCTTTTGGATTATGGTCTTTATTTGTTTCATTACCACTTGGGGAAGAGGAATTACTTTGCATTAATACTAATAAAAATTGAATTTATAGATGAAGTTAATCTTTTGATTGAATAGAAAAATTAATTTATTTAAAATTCTTAAAAATTTTTAAAACAAAAAAAAAATTGAAATGAAAAAATAATTTATTGATTTGATGTTATATTTTGTTTGTCAGAATATGTTTGGTCTAAATAATACATCGAATAAAGTTGTTGAATTTTTTCATCACATTTATTCATTCTTTCATCTAATTCAAGTGTTTTTTGTTTAAGTTCAGTTAAATTATTTTGGTTTTTAATTATTACGTTGTTAAGTTCAGTTGACATAAATGAGTTTTCAAAATGAATTATAAGTTTCCTTTTTTTTATTAGCACCTTTTTAAGTTCCTTTATTATACCAATTTGATAAAGTTATTATCTTTTATTACATAACCATCTATATCAATCACTTCATGATCTATATCATTAATCCATGGAATGTCAGTTGAAGAATATTTTGTTGATTGTTTAATGTCATATGGTAATGGAAATCTAGTTAATGTGAAATTGTCAATGAATAACATTCCCATTTCATAGTTATTTATTTCTAGTGTAGAATTTGTTGGTTTTCCCCAAGCAGCACCAGAAATATTTGAAGACGTTAAAATACCATATTTAGGAATGTCTTCTTCATAAATGACATATGTCTACTAGTAAATAAAAGCAGTATTAATAAATTAAATAAATTCATAACAAACTTTAATGTGAGGTTGAATAAGATGTCTTGGAAATGGAGGAAGAAATTTATAAAAGTAATTTTCCCAGGTTTTTACAAAATTACTTCGTAGAAAGAATGAACAACTTCCATGATATCCTGTTTCACTCGTACGAATAAAATCTTCTGTTGGCCATATAATCTGAAATTTTGATTCAGGTTGGTTCGTTAAACAGAGTGAAAGCTCTCTTCTGTACTGGTTAGTAAAAAGTCCTAAAGAAGACGCTTGTGCAGCAATAGTACAATGGTTAGTAAATTGAACATGAAGTTTATTATTAAGGATGTCATATACTTGTTTCATTCCATATTTATTTAGGTCATTCCCTTTATGAGTCCCTGGAATTGATAATAATAGCCATCCATCAATAGTAGAATAGTCAAAGTCAGAAAGATATGAAATAGTAACATTAACCGAAGTGAAATAACTTTGTAATGTTGTTAAGAAATGAGCTCCTTTTTCGTTGAGAACTGTTGATGATTCAGAAGGTTTAAAATCTTTGATATATATTCCTTGAGACTTGAGATTATAGTCAAGTGGAATAAGGTTTGCTGTTGACAAAACAAAACGGAGACCACCTTCATATAATATTATCATAATTTTGACGTGATGACACCCTTTTTTTAAAGGAACACTGAATGTTTCAAAGTCTTTATATTCTTGAATAAGCAATTGGTCAAAATAATTGAGAGTTCCATTATGGACGAACTGAACAGGAATTCTTGTTAAGATTGGTAATTCATCAAATAGCCATTGAAGGTCAAAAACAAATGTAGTAAGAGTTACTGAATATATTTCTCCCTAATAAAAAGTTAATAGTTAAATTTAAAATACTCTTAATAAAAAAAACGTACTGGAGTATTAAAAATATCATGTAATGAAACTGTATCTTTTTCCTTCATTAAAGAAGGAGTTAATTCTAATTTATTCAAATGAAACAATTTCTCAGACATTAAATAAAAAAATAAGATTGACTTAAAAAAATATTTTAATTCAGGGAAATTACTTGATCTAAATCAAATAACCGTTTAGTGAATTAACTACATTTAGCTTTTAGATAATTCGGTCCAACCTTGTAATTTTCCCTTAATCCAAAGCTTAACGCAATTATTATTTCCTTAATATCAAGACATTAATAAATAATAAATAACATTGAAAATTATGGTAATTTATTGAGAAGAAGTAATAAAAATATTAAATAATATCTTTATTAATTAATTTGTTATACATTATAATAATTTAATCTTCAATTAGAAAAAAAAAAGAAAGTTCTAAAGAATGATTTAGAAGTTCTGTAAGGAGCAATAACAAGTAAAAACAAAGAAAGAAGTTTTTTTATGAGATTTTTTCTTATCATGTTATTCTTTTCTTAGATAAAAGGGTAGAATGAGAATTTATAACGTTTCTCTTATGTGAGATCTTTATTCTTAGAAAAATCAAAAACATGTCTAACACAAGCTATAGTAGTTCTGGTAATATTTCCGATGCAATTAAAAGAGAATTTGAAAGTAAAGCAAAAGCCATTATTGAGAAGAGAGTTAAGCAACTCAATTTAATGCTCTGTAAATATTCATGCTTTCCAAATCTTAAAAGTCAATTTATGTACTTAAAAGAACAATTAGTCAATGCTTCTCATTACAAAGAATGTATGTCAGAAGAAGAAATGGAAAAAACTCTTCAGATGCTCCATAGAGTTGTAACAAACATGTCTATAAAAGAAGTAGAGAAAGGTTATACAAAGCATGAAGGAATTAGGTATGAGCTAAAACAATTTGACCGGGAACCTATTCGATCATTTGGGAGAATTAAAAAGATTACTGCTAAAGAATTAAATTCAAGAAGTACAAAATAATTATAATATGTATTTATTTCTTTACATGATATTTTTATCAACTTAAAAAAGTCTAAAAATAACACAATAATCTTGAATTTAAAAATCGTTCAATAACATAATTAATAAAATAATGTTTTTAGTTTTTATTTATTGTTCATTCCTTCAAATTTTTTTTACTTTTTGAAACAATTCTGAAAAGCTCAATAAATAGTTTACTTAATAAACTGTCAAAAAATACAAAGAAAACTTGAAAAAAAAGTCCTTCTTTATTAGACATGGCTTGTATATGCCCCATTGAAAATGGTATTGAGGCAATTGAGATTTTTAGAAAATATACTCATAATTGTTTTTATGATGGTCTTGATGTTACTTCATATATATTTGGACTAATTAATATTGGTTTCTGGATGTGTGCTCAATTCCCACAATTGTATAAAACCTTTAAAACTAAAAAGCCAGAATCATTATCAATAACATTTCTTGTAATGTGGTTAGGTGGTGATATAACAAATTTATTAGGTTGTATTTTTACAGACCAAACACAAGTACAATTATTAACCTCTGTTTATTTTGTTTTAATTGATATTATTATGCTGTCTCAATATGCATGGTATTTGTTAATATGTAGAAAGAAATATCGTTTGTTTTTTTTTTATTTAGACAACACTCTTTTATTTTCTGGTATTTAAACTAACTTTTTTATAGATAAAGAGGATTATCAAATTCTTAGTTCTGACTCATCAATCGCAACTCCTCCAGATAATATTTCTGATGATACAATAATTAATGAAGAAGATTTAAATGACAATTATAGTCAAGTTAGTAATAGTAGATTTGTTATTGTGTTAATGACACTTTTATGTGTTTTTGCACAAGAATATTTTATGAATAGTTTAGATGAATCAGATGACCTTCCTTATTGTGGAGAAAAGGATTATTCTCTCTTAGAACGGATAATAGGGGATGTTTCTGCATGGGTTTCAGGATTATTATATTTCTTTGGAAGAATTCCACAGATAATTCATATTTATAGAACCAAGAATGTTGATGGATTATCTATTTTGTTATTTATCATGGCAACAATAGCCAATATTTTTTATTCATTATCTCTTTTTATTTCTGGTATTGATCTTACTGACCCAACATTTTATGAAGCAAAATTAGCATATATTATTGGTTCATTTTTTGTTATTCCAATGTCTTTAGTTGTTATAGCTCAGTATTATTATTATAAATATATTAAAAATTGGTGGATACATAGAAAAGATGAAAAACAACCATTGTTAACTGGGGTAGATCAGTAGTAGTTAATATTTTATTTCTTAATAACTAATAACAAATAAAAAAAAGGCTCTTAGTTTAGAATTGATTACAAACGTATTCTTATTGTTTCCCTATTCCTTTTTTTCTTAAAAATTCTTGAATTTCTGTTAATAACGGTTTAGGTTTGACTAAAAGAGTTTTTGGTTCATTTTTATGTGGTATAGAAATAGTTGTTCCTCGTTTCTTTACATCTGCTTTCTCAACAACACGTTGGATAGTTCCAAAACAGTTATCAATCTTCATTTGTTTCATTTGAGAACGCATTGTAGTAATATCACTCACATTTTCAGGGAAAAGATGTTGAAACTCTTTGATAAGAAAAACAATAATTTCTTTTAATGTTGACTCTTTCTTTAATTGTTCTATTTGAACTTGTTTAGATTTTATTGGTTTTGTTGAGAGGGAGTTTATTGAAAATATACATGAATAAAGATTATCTGCTAAAGACTGTTCATTCATTTTGTTTACATCAGATAGTGATTCTATTTTACAACACACCTTAAGTAAAGCTGTAAGAAGTGTTATTGATTCTTTATTACATGAATTAATCATCTGTCGAACAGGTTTATTGTGTGTTGAATATTCGTTTGGTTGTCCAAGATTATTCCATTGTTGTATAATTGTATTTGTCAACTCTGAATTAATCAAAGAATTTGGTAATTGTTTTAGGAACATTTTAAGGCATTCACAAACTACATTTGGTGGTAATCCTTCAAACTCTATTTGGTCCATTCTTAATAAAACTTCTTTAGCATAATCCTTTTCTTGGTTATTAGCTTTATTCATAATGAATTCTTTTTCACAGCATGAATTAATTATATACAAAAAAATACTTTCTATTTGATTTGGTAATTGGTCTTTGGTTTTTTGTTCTTCTTTTAAGATTTCTTTAAGGTCTTTTTTCAAATAACGATTGCTTTCATTTCCAGATAATTCTCTAATATCATTTAATAATTTTTGTTGTTGTGCATTTGCAACAGCTTTTAGCATATCCCTGTTTGCACTAATTTGAAGGTCACATTCAGAAAACATTCTTTGAAATGATTGTATAATTGAATGAAGATGTAATGGTCCATGACATTGTAACTCACCTCTAATCTTTGATGCATCTTGTTTTGATTGACTGAGTATAAGAGTGTTTAACCTTTCGATAAGACTATGACATTCATGATGGCAAAAACGAAAACGTTCTGAAATAGTTTCAAGTTCATTTGAAATGCACTGTAAACTTTCATTGATATGATTTAAACCAACACTTTCTAATAGATAAATATAATTAGTTCATTTTTTTTAAGATGATTGTAATATTATTAACTAAAGAACAAACTTGATAATCCAGGAAGATTAATACAATATATTGAGTCAATATATTCAGCATGACCTTTGATGCATTCAGCTAATCCTTCAATGTACTCATAACATTTTTCTTCAAATAATTGTTGATAATACCAAAAAGCTATTTCATTAACAATTTCATAATTAAATATATCCATTGGTTGTTGAATTATAGGATTAAAGAATTGATCTTCAACAACATCCGATTGATAAATAGTTTCTACTTGTTTAAGTATCATATTAACTATTTCTAGTCCATTTTCATCAAGATTATCCTGATTAGAAGATATAACTTTAAAGGTTTCAATAATTCTTTCATCATAAGCTTGTAAATGTACAGTTTGTTGTCTTTTGCATTTATTATCATTAATTATTGAAGATACAATATTAATTACTGACTCTGCAAAGTGTTGAAATCCAATTTTATTAAAAGGTTTTATACTTTCAAAAATCATTAATTTAACATTTTTACTTGTACCTTTCTTTCTTGTTTGTTTTCCACCTAATAATTCCATAAATGTTGATGACACAGCATTCATTACAATAATTTCTTTTGTTCTAGAGTCTGTTATATTTTCAAAACCATATTGATTTTTTAAATATTGTCTTACGTTTTGACCATATACCACTGTGTCTTCTATTTTTAAATGAGGAAGTGTTTGATATGATATTTTGGAAGGTGTTTTTACAATAACCTCATTTCCAAGTAATACATACATTCCAATAATCCCAGCATTACTTATCCGCTCTCTATTCATTGACATTCGTTTAACTTCTCGAAGAACATCTTTTGGTCTTTTTTCTATCTTCTTTTGAGATGGCATAATTAATTTTCAAATGGTAATTAATTAATTCATACTTCCTTCTTTTTAACTCTTTTATTTTAATAAAAAAGATAAAAAAAATTCTTGTAATTTTAAAAATGTTATTTCTTCTGAAAAAAAATATATATTTATAACATTTTCATTTCACTTTATATTGTTATTCTTTGAAAATACAAAATATAATTACTTCTTTCAATAAACAAAAATACCTTTCATATGAAAGTTTCCACCTTGTTCTATAACTTTTATTTTTAGATTAGTTAGATACATTTATTATTATGCAATAAATTATTTTACTTTAATTATTTAAATTAAGGTAAAAATACATTGTTATGTTATTTTGTAAAGATAAAATCTTGTAAATCAAAATTTGATTTTTAGATACTATTTTATCTTTCTACTTTATTGTTTCAGTGTCAAGTTATACTACTAATTTTAATGCCTTGCTTTTGTTGTTCTTAGTGAAATTTTTTTGATATTTGATATAATTTCTCTTCTTTTTTTTTAACAAATTAACTATTCTAATTCATGAACTTACCTATATATTTTGTTTAGTATTTTAAAAGAACTAGAGTGAAAGATCTATGCTTAACTTAGTTCATGGAATTTTGGAAAAAGTACCTAAAAAATAAAAATGAGATGTATATGATTTTTAGTGACTCACGATGTGAGGCTAAATCAAAAATTGTTTCGTTCGATTTAGATGGTACTTTGGTTACGGTTTGGAATTCATTTCTTTTTTTTTATTTAACTTGTTTTATTGATTGGTTTAGACAAAAACTGGTAAAACTTTTGCCACGTCTTCAGAAGATTGGAAGTGGTTAAATGAAAAAGTGATACCAACACTTCAACAAGAAGTCGAAAGAGATGCAAAGATTGTCATTTTCACTAACCAAAAAGGGATCATGAGTCGTGGTGAAATAAATACCAAAAAGTGTGATGAGTTTTGTCAACGAATAGAACATATCATAAAACAATTAGCGATGTATGAGATTTATGTACAAGTGTTTGTTGCAATATCAGATAATATTTATAGAAAACCACTTCCAGGAATGTGGTCATTATTAGAGAAGAATAATCAGTGTATCAAAATTGATAAGTCAAAGAGTTATTTTATTGGAGATGCTGCAGGAAGAGGAGATAATTGGATGAAAGGAAAAAAGAAAGACTTTAGTTGCAGTGATCGTAAATTTGCAAAAAATGTTGGGATAAAATTTAATACACCTGAAGAATATTTTCTTGGAATGAAACCTTGTGAATTTGAGTGGGACGACATAGACATGAATTCTTTTCCACTAGTCTCTGGAAGAGAAAGGTTAGATCTTTTGAAAATCCAATTCAAAGAGGGTAGGGAAATGATTTTATTTGTTGGATCTCCAGCTTCAGGTAAAACCTCGTTTTATGAGAAATATCTAAAACCAAAGGGGTATGGATGGATCAATATGGATACATTAGGTAATAAAACAAAATGTATGAGAGAAGCAAAGAAATTGATTGAAAATGAGTCACTTGTTATTGATAATTCAAATCCAACTATTGAAGGAAGACAGGAATTTATTGAGTTAGCGAAAAAGAATGATATTCCTATTAGATGTTTTTATTTTGAATGTGATAAAAAATTAACAAACCACTTAAATACTTTTCGGGCATTAACAACAAATAAAAATATTCCAGCAATTGCTATAAATGTATATTATAAAAAATTTGTTCAACCACGAAAAGAAGAAGGATTTACAGAAATTATAACTATCCCATTTGTAGTAGAAGAAGATTATTTATTAACAAATGATACAAAACAATTATTATATTATTCATATTAAACATTAAAAAAAACACTATTATTAATTTTTCGGAAATTTCTAATTTTTTATGTTTTTTTTTGGAAGTCTTTAAAACTTGAAAAAACAGATTTAGTGGTGCTTTGGTTAAGACAATGATGAAAGCTCCGTATGCCCATAACTTGGATTATGACTCTCGTCAATTAATTGAACAATTAATGCTTACACCAAATGATAAAAGAACACCGTTAAACCAAATATTCTTTGATGTAGCTGTTGGATTTAATAAAAGAACCGAATATCGAATGTTATGGTTTAGATTTGATATAAGAAAATTATATTTTCTAAGACATGGAGATCCAAGAGAAGAACTTTTATTCTCATCTTTTTCATTTGTTACATTAGAAGATAATAATTCGAAGATTAAATTAATTGTAACTGATTTTGTAGAGAATCCAAAAACATACTTTATTATTACTCAATCACAGAGCGATACATTACAAATTTTTCAATTGCTCCGAGGTATTTCTACACGTCCTACTATGTTATTTTTTGAACAAGACTTTTATCAAGACTATGTTAATAAAAAAAGAACTGTTGCTTGTAAAAAAAGAGGTCAAACTGCATGGGCAAGAAGAGATATGATTATATTTAATGGATTATTTGTATTATATGGAGAAACAGGAAGAATTCCACTAACTATGTGTCCTATGTGTGATAAAGTTAACATTATGAGACACCCAAGAAATGTTTTGGAAATTACTACATCAATAAGAAGAATATTATTACATTTTGATAGTGATATAGACATGAATGATACATATGAATGTTTATTGACTTGTGATCAATATATTCGTCAACCCATAATGTTTCCTGTAAAAGATTTCTTTACAGGTAAATTAGGAGATTTACACCAAAGCTGTAGAGAGGTTTGTATTAAAAATATGTTGTATCCAGAAGAATGTTTTGATAATTTTCCAGTCCTTTGTGAAATACTTCGTGCGGTTACAAAAAAAAGATGTGTTACTGTTGGAGATCGTAAAACAACAAAAAAAGAAGAAGAAGAACTTACAAGAAGACCACCACCTCCTCCTCAAGTTCCATTACAAGAAGATGATTTAGGACAATACTGCATTAAAGAAGATCCTAAGAAGTATTATAGTAATTTTGTTTCAGTAGGTAAAGGTGGATTTGGAGAAGTGTTCAAAGCAACAAGAAAAGAAGATGGAGCTGCTGTAGCTTTAAAAGTACTTCGTCATAGTGTTGATGAAAGATATGCAAAGATAGGGTGCGAAGTTGCAAGAATGAAATTATGGGATCATCCTAATTTAATTAAAACAATTGGATGTTTTTTATATGACCATAAAGTATACATTGGAATGGAATTTTGTTCTGGAGGAACATTAAAGTCAATGTTAAAGCCAAGGAACCAAGGGTTATCATTTAGTGAAATTGCTTATATTCTTAAACAATCATTACAGGGAATTGCTTATATTCACCAAACAGGATTTATTCATAGAGATATAAAAACTGCAAATATTTTAATGGATGACCATTACTGTGTTAAAGTGATTGACTTTGGTTTAGTAGTTAGAAAGTCATCACAACCACAAAACCGTGCTGGTTCAAAATCGTATATGGCACCAGAAGTTATTAAACAAATACCTTATGACGAAAAAGTTGATATTTGGAGTATTGGATGTGTTGCACAAGAATTACTTGAATCCCAACCACCTTACAAAGAACATGGTGTTATTAAAGGAATGTTTAAAACAGCTGCATTTGGAGCACAATATCTTAGAGACGAAACAAAAGCAATCGAGCCATTTGTAGATTTTGTTAATAAATGTTTTGCTTATGACCCAAGAGATAGACCTTCATGTGATGAATTATTAACACATAAATTCTTACAGTATGCGCAACAGTCAAATTATATGAGAAGGTGTTATGAAATTCCTTGAATGTAATGATAATGTTATATTATTTGAAAAACAATCAGTTAATTTAAAAAATTTTATCTCTTGTTTCATTAACAATTTCTTTTATTTATTTCAACTAGTCTTAGTTGTTAAAAGATTTCTTTCAAAAACACATGACTGTCATGAAAGAAAGTAAAGAAAGAGAAATAAAATAAGATAATATAAAGATATGAAATGAATAAAAGAAATATAGAATATTACAGTGATGAATAATAACTAGAAATAATTAAAACAATGAGGTAACGTGCATAGAAGATAATGAAATAAGAGAAATGCTGAAAATAAATAATGATTATATGATGAAATTTTACAAAACACGTCGTAAAAGAAATAATAAAAGAACATTTAATGAAATATATTAATACATGGAAATTAAATGCAATGAATAATCAAAT